CAAACTTTAAACTTTGTTTTTACGCTTTTGAGTGTTTTTATGTCTTCGAAAGTTAAAAAAATGAAACAAAAAGGTTTTAAAAAAAGTGCTCCTGATCGGGTCCAACGGTTCTGAAAACAAAAACAAATTAGGAAACTTTAAAAAAAAGTGTTTAAATCCAAACGTCTTCACCTGTCGGGCCTCGACATGAAGATCCAACAGACTCCAGTGGAACCCAAAAAAAGTCATSGAGTGTTTCAACTGCATCTTAGAGCAGTGAAGGTTCGGTTCTGGTTCCGGAGCCCACTCAGCCTGAGAGAGGCGCAGAGACACAGGAAGGTTCGTTTAGACAAAAACACGCCGTTGGGTTTGAAGTCCAAACAAACAGAAGTGTTTACCTCCCATTTGTGTTGCATGAACTCCCACAGCCTGCTGTAGTGGTACCGCAGGTCGGCGCCGCTGGTGAAGCCCGGGWTGTGCAGGTGACCCAGGTGGGTCACATCTGCTGCGTTTTCAGGAATCTCCTACAAGGAAGAATTAATTTAAAAAATGTGTCACTGAAAAAGGAACTCAGAACCTTCACAGGTAAGACCCGACGCCCACCTGTATGTGAGAACTGACGAAATGCTCGGTTCTGCCCCGGTAGACCCACTGGCCTTTCGTGATCTCCTCCTGTTCTGGGACGGCCCACTCAGGTTCTGCTCCATCGCAGTGAAACCAGACCAGGATGTGCTGGTTCACCTCACAGCTGGGCCAGCAGCGCACCGCGGCGACCTCTGGCACTGGGAGCAAAGTGAATCCCAGTTTTAGCTTGGAGTAGATTATGTGCATCAAGGGTTTGCCGTACATCTGACCAAGCCTTCGTCAGGTCGTACCTTTSTCTGTGTAAGGAATCTTCTCACATTTACCATCCTCCCCTCGAAACTGCCATCCATGGAACGGGCATTCGATACAGTTTCCCATCACACGGCCCCCCACCGCCAGGTTGGCCCCCAGGTGAGGACAGTAGGCGTCCAGGATGTAGGCCGTCCCGTCATGTCCCCGAAACACCACCAGCTGCTGGCCTGAAGAAGCCGAGGAGAGAAAACARCTTTATGTCAAACTTAAATCAGTTAAAAAACAGGCTAAAGGTTTATTTATTCAACCTATGTTCAAAATAAACAACAAGCTAAACAAGGCTAAACACTAGCTTAAAGCTAAATGTAGAAAAACACTAACAGCTAAGTGTAAAAATATAAAAGAAAAAAGTAAAAACTATCAAAGTTAGCTAAAAGCTCAGAGTATGAAGTATTATCAAAAAGCAGCAAAATGTTAGCTAGCTAAGAGCTAAAGTAACAAAAGACTAGCTAAAGAATTAAAAGGCTTATTAGAAGCTATAAACGTATCAAAAGGCTTGTTAGGATTTTAATTTATCTAGTTTGGTGGGATGCTAGCGAAAAGTCAAAATCTTGCTAAAAACAGCTAAATGTTAGCTAAAATATATAAGAAGCAAAAGCCTAAGAGCTAAGTAACAAAAGACTAAAAGTATTAAGGTTTATTAGAAGTTAAAAGTATCAAAGAGCAAGCTAAAAGTCAAAATCTAGCAAAACAAAACATGCTACAAGTTAGCTACAATCTASAAATTGCAAAGGCCTAGCTAAAAGCTAACGTAAAAAATGGCTAGCTAAAACRTCAAAAGCCTTGCTAGAAGCTAAAACTATCAAATATCTGGCAAAAAGCAGCAAGATGTTTGCTAGGCTCTAGAGCTGTAGTAACAAAAGGCAAGACAGAAGCTAAAATTATCAAGCAGCTAGTTAAAAAAGAAGCAAAAATCTTGTAAAACAGGACACCTACAACCTRAAAGTAGCAAAGGCCTAGAGAAGAGCTAAAGTAATGAAAGGCTAGCTAGAAGCTAAAATTATCAAATASCTATCTAAAAAAATTCTAAAACCTAGCAAAAAAAAAAAACCAGCAAAATGTTAGCTAAAACCTAAAAATAGTTTAACTATGAGCTAAAATGTTAAAGCGGTAAAACTGTAAAGAACTAATAGGCTAGCTTTAAGCTAAAAATAACAGAATTGTAACTAGAACACAAAAGAAGCTAAATAGAAGCTAAAATCTGCAAAACTGAAAGTTAAAAGCAACAGTGACGAAGCTAAAGGTATCATAAGAAGAYAAAAACAGGCAGCAGCTGAAACAGATTTTAAAAGCTACTTTCACATTGCTGGAAAATGTGACCCATATTTGATCTTTTAATGATGTCTGAAAACGTTAATTTACTTCCTGCTTTATTTGTGCATTTTTAGCTGCTGTTCTCCACACCTGGGTTGTGTTTGATGTTTTATCCTTCAGTATATTTAAGTCTGAGTTTCATTTATTATCTGACAGTTTGGCATCTTTGTTTCTTTGCACTGATCTGTGAAACGTTTTGGGGTTTTTGTCATCATTGTTTTGGGTTTTTGGACATCTGGACTTGCCGTAGAGGAGACATTTAATTTTGTTTTTGTTCGGTAAATAAAGTTTTATTTGTCTGCAGTCCTTCTGCCTCCTGACTGAGAGAACGGAGTTCTAATCCTGAAGTCATACTTGTTCTAATATTTAAAACTTATTAAATAAAACTAATGTTCCTGATGATCCTCAGCTCCAGGTCTTTGACAGTCAGAGCTTCTCATTTTCAGGTTGTTTGTTGATTTTATTTTATGATTCGACAGAAACATGAAAGCCTCACGTCCTCTTTGAAATCCTTTTTGAACTCAAACTCAAAGTAACTCAAAAAAGATCAAAGGGTCCTGCTGCAATGCATGATGGGAACAAGAATCTGAAARAAAGACTGGATTCAATCAGAGATAAATCAAATCCATCAACCTGATGACAAATAAAACTGGAAGGAGACGAATTAAAGTGACAGTTCAGAATGTTCAATGACTGGAACCACACCTGGACCACAAAAACCACACCTGGACCACAAAAACCACACATGGATGACAAAAACCACACCTGGACCACAAAAACCACACCTGGACCACAAAAACCACATATGGACCACAAAAACCACACCTGGACAACAAAAACCACACCTGGACAACAAAAACCACACCTGGACCACAAAAACCACACCTGCACCACAAAAACCACACCTGGACCACAAAAACCACACATGGATGACAAAAACCACACCTGGACCACAAAAACCACACCTGGACAACAATAAACCGCATCTGGACCATGATAAACCACACCTGGACCACAAAACCACATCTAAACCATGAGAAACCACACCTAGACCAGAAAAAATACGCCTGGACCATGAAAACCACACCTGTACCACAAAAACCACACCTGGACCACAGACGTCACACCTGGACAAGAGAAAACACACCTGGATCATACAAAACCACATGTGGACCACAGAAACCACACCTAGACCACAGAAACCACACCTAGACCACAAAATCTACGCCTGGAACATAAAAACCACACCTGAGCTATGAGAAACCACACCTGGACCATAATAAACCACAAATGGACCRTGATAAACCACATTTGGACCACAAGAAACCGCACCTGGACCACAGAAATCACACCTGGACCACAGAATACCACACCTGGACAACAAGACGTCACACCTGGACCATGATAAACCACACCTGGACTATTAAAAAACACCTGGACCACAAAAACCACACCTGGACAACAATAAANTGGACAACAAGACGTCACACCTGGACCATGATAAACCACACCTGGACTATTAAAAAACACCTGGACCACAAAAACCACACCTGGACAACAATAAATCGCATCTGGACCATGATAAACCACACCTGGACCATACAAAACCACATCTGAACCATGAGAAACCACACCTAGACCAGAAAAACTATGCCAGGACCATGAAAACCACACCTGTACCACAAAAACCACACCTGGACCACAGAAGTCACACTTGGACCAGAGATAACACACCTGGACCATACAAAACCACACCTGGACCATACAAAACCACAACTGGACCACAGAAACCACACATGGATGACAAAAACCACAGCTGCACCACAAAAACCACRCCTGGACCACAAATACCMCACATGGATGACAAAAACCACACCTTTACCGCAAAAACCACACCTGGACAACAAGAAGTCACACCTGAACCATAATATACTACACCTGGACCACAATAAACCACATCTGGACCACAAAAACCGCACTTGGACCATAAAACCACACCTGGACCATAAAAACCACACCTGGACCATAATACCTCACCTGAACCATAAAAACACACCTGGACAACAAGAAGTCACACCTGGAATATAAAAAAAACCTGGACCACAAAAACCACAACTGGACCACAAGAAGTCACACCTGGACCATGATAAACCACACCTGGACCATTAAAAAAACACCTGGACCACAAAAACCACACCTGGACAACAATACACCACATCTGGACCATGATAAACCACACCTGGACCATACAAACCACACTTGTACCACAAAAACCACACCTGGACAACAAGAAGTCACACCTGGACCATGATAAACCACACCTGGACCATTAAAAAACACCTGGGCCACAAAAACCACACCTGGCCAACAATAAACCACATCTGGACCATGATAAACCACACCTGGACCAGAAAAACTACGCCTGGACCATGAAAACCACACCTGGACCACAGAACTCACACCTGGACCAGAGAAGTCACACCTGGACCATAAAAAACGACACCTGGACCATACAAAACCACACCTGGATCATACAAAACCACACCTGGACCACAGAAATCACACCTAGACCACAAAAAACTACACCTGGAACATAAAAACCACACCTGAGCTATGAGAAACCACACCTGGACCACAATAAACCACAAATGGACCATGATAAACCACATTTGGACCACAGAAGCCACACCTGGACCACAGAAATCACAGTTGGACCACAATAAACCACATTTGAACCAGAGAAACTACACCTGGACCATGGAAACCTGAACCATGTTTGTTTGATTTTTGTGCATGGTTCGTTCTCTTTTTGTTGTTTTTATTTTGAAAGTAACACAAAACAAAGAATGAGCCATGCACGGATTAACAATAAATATTAGAAATGATAGACAATGGCTGTAAAAACTACGTCTGCCTATCCTGGTCCTGGTCCTGGTTCCTTCCTGTTCATCCATCCATTTTCTGTACACGCTTCTTCCTTTTCAGGGTTGCGTGGGTCACTGGTGCCCATATCCAGCAGCCACAGTGCGAGGGGCGGGGTACACCCTGGACAGGTCGCAAGTCCATCACAGGGCCTCCTTCCTGTTCAGAGGGAGTCATTTATTCCCACTGTGGCCAAGGTGCTGCGCAGACCGGGATGTTGTAACAAAGTCAAGACTCTTGTTGTGTAACTAAACTGAATCAATGATCTAAACCCAACCTGAGCTCCAGGTCTCAGGTCTCAGGTCTGTGGTCTCAGGTCTCAGGTCTGTGGTCTCTTCAGGCCCAGAGGATGAATCAGTGAACGTTTCTCAGCATCTCACCAAACAAGTGAACTGAACTCATATTTCTTGGCAACAGAAACTGTGAMAACATTAAATGAGGACGTGTGATAAGAACAGAGGCTGAAAGATGTGTGTCGAGGCCGTCCTGACGTTATCTGAACAATAACATCTGTCCTGGAGCCTGGGACCAACAAGTMCAGACAAGACTTGATCAACTCCAGAGAGAGATTACTTCAGATCTCATCCTGATCATGAGCAGAAGATAAACAGGTGCTGCTAAACCTGGTGACATGAGATCTCTGTCTGCGTCACAAGAATCTGACAGAGACAATGTGCAAATTATCTTTGTCACATTTGACACCTTCAACTAATTAACTTCAGGGATCAACCGGTTCAAGGCGGCCGCCGCAGGAAGTCAGCCAACTGGGGTTGGTGGTATTTAGCCAATAACGACTCGTTTGACAATTAATCCCCTGGACACCCTTATGTCCTGGTCACATGACCAGTTTAGTGGGAAAGATTTGCTTTTTGGAAAAATCTGTTCCAAATTGTGTCAAAATTACATTGAAGAACTTTTTTCTTTAAATGTTCGTCATATTTGAAGCAGAGGAGCATCGAGCAGACTGATTGGAGAAATCTCCAGTCTTGTATTAACCAGCCAAAAAATAACCGATTAATGTTGTTCTGGCGATTAATTGCACACGATTATGCCCAACCCTACAGCCAACACAGCAAAGCTCAKTTTTCACAGATTTTAGGCTAAAACTTGTGAGTAAAAGAGACAAAAACGTCTTTAAAAGCAGACTCTCAGTTTCTGAGCTGATGTGGATCAGAGTTCACGTTCAGCACCTGAACTGTTCCAGACTTTTAGCTGCAGGGACAAAAAGAAGATGAATGTTTCAGAATGTAGACACACTTGATTTTAAACTGCTGAGTTGACAGTTTTGCCTGTTCCTTCACACCTGACGCTGCAGTTTGACTTCAAAACTTACAAAATAAAAGCCTAATTAGTTGTATTTGTGAAAGGTTTAAACTAAAACGCTTTGAATGTGCAAATGGGTCTTACCAAGAACGGAAACATCTTTCACCTCCCCTCTATTCAGACTGTGGGAGTTCAGGACCCGGTACCATCCGTTGGGGTAGACCGGGGGCAGGTCTCCCACCCTCCTCCTGCGGCGCACCTCGTTCGCCGCCTGCGCCCTGGAGCGGCCGGCCTCTGCGATGTAGCCGACGTCGTCCGGGGTTCGGCGCAGCTCCAGGGGACCGAAGAGCAGCCGGTACAGCCAGCCGGCGGCCAGGAGGGACAGCCCGGCCGCGACGCAGAGGACGAGCCGCTGCGCTGCGGCGCCGAGCCACGCGGCTGCGCAGTCCTCCTCCCGGGTCAGCTGGACCGGGTCCGCGCTGTGCGTCAGGAGCATCAGCGTCACTCCCAGTCCAACAACCGCTGCGGTCCAAGCCGACATCATGTCCTCGGTGACTCCAGAGTGTCTGAAGAAGACTGTCCTGCTCGGCATCAAACGACGAGGATCAGGCASAGCCGTGCGTCATGACGCGTTGGAGACACCTTTACGCGCCACACCCGCTCCCCAACATAAAACTGAGAGGGAAAGTTTTCCCAAACTRCCGCCTACACGGAAATATTTCTTACATATTAATTAGTGAGCATCATGTGGCGGCCCGCGGGCCTTTTCCGGCCGGCACGGATGATGCTGGGGGTCACATTCATTTAAAACAGTTTTTTAGGTCTTTTGATGTCTTCCCTAAACGGAAATCTTTTATTTTAAAACACAGAAAATCCACCCCCTGCACTTCTAACTAATTTCCATMAACTTTTGCAGAAAAACAGTTAAATTTATGACCATTCACAGACATTAATCAGCATGCAGACATCCTTAAAATATTAAAAATATTTGAAGGCTTTGAAGTATYTGACAGAGTGCACATCACCCACACCTTCAACTCTCAGCTTGTAGCTACAACACCAAACTGCAGCTCAACATCTGTGAATTTGACTGATTTGTAACAAACGTTGTGTTTGATAAAGAGCACTAAYTGTGACCATATTGAATTGGGAAGAACATAAAAGATATAAAGAGAAAGAAAATTTAAATAGATACTGGTTTATAATGAACWAACTTAACCGTTTTGGTTATTTATTTTGATTTATAGGTTTAGTTCTGAGTATTAATAAGCAGCAGCAGCTAGCTGTAGCACTTCAGGGATCAAATATTTTTCCAGATGATAAAATGATCATATTATCAACGTCCTCCGATTTGACTTTCATTTTTTCAGATCTTCAGAACCAGTTCAAGTGAAACCAGCAGGAGCGGTTCTGACTTGAGGAACAGGAGACAGTCCCGGTGGGTCCAAGTTTTCAAAAAGACATGACGACGCGTCAAAAACAGCCTCCATCGAAAGGCAGAAACACTCTTCAGATCTAAACGACAAAATTCTGTTTTATAGATTTTAAAACAAAAAAACAACAAAACTTTTATTTCAAACATTTCCTTGGATCAGGATGAACAGGTGACTCGTCAGTGACCTGACAGTGACCCATCAGTGACCTGACAGTGTCCCGTCAGTGACTCATCAGTGACCCGACAGTGACCCGACCGTGACCCGACAGTGAC